CCCAAGTAGCTGGGACTACAGGCGCACACCACCATGCCTAATTTTTGTATTTTTGGTAGAAATGGAGTTTTACCATATTGGTCAGGCTGGTCTTGAACTCCTGACCTCATGACCCATCTTCCATGGGCTCCCAAAGTGCTGGGATTACAGGCGTGAGCCACCAGGCCCGGCTGTTAAGCACCTTTTTATGCACTTATTGGCCATTTGTATATCGTCTTTTTGGGTGGGGAGAAATGTCTATTCTACCCATTTTTGATTAGGTTGTTTTGTTTTTGTTGAGTTCATCCTAAATCCTTCTTGAAACAAGGTAAAGAAAGGGAGAAGCCCAGGCGTGGTGGCTCCTGCCTGTGATTCCAGCACGTTGGAAGGCTCAGGTGGGCAGATCACCTGAGGTCGGGAGTTCGAGACCAGCCTGACCAACAAGGAGAAACGCTGTCTCTGCTAAAAATACAAAATTAGCCAGGTGTGGTGGTGCATGCCTGTAATCCCAGCTACTCGGGAGGCTGAGGCAGGACAATTGCTTAAACCTGGGAGGTAGAAGTTGCTGCGAGCCGAGATCGCGCCATTGTACTCCAGCCTGGGCAACAAAAGCAAAACTCTGTCTCAAAAAAAAAAAAAAAGAAAAGAAAGGGCAAAGTGTTACATAGATGTAAGGTATCATACTCTTCATAATTATCCCACCTTTTAGAAACCCTGCTACGCATGTACATGTTCCTGGACATTCCAGGAAACATTCGCTTAAGTTCCACTGATCTGGCTGTGGCTGTCTATGTTGCCTACCTCCAGCCACAGAAAATATCCATATCATATCAAAACACACTGGCCATGATTTATTTCCTCCTCTTGGTTGTTACCAACACCTCCGCCATTGTCAACACACTTATTTAAAATAAACAAGGAAGAATTCCAGTCAATTTATGTATTCAGCACTAAGGAGTGATGGAGAATTTCTGGAACATCCATTTGATGGGCATTAGAAATGTTTAAAAGTATGTAATGACAGCTGGGCACAGTGCCTCACATCTGTAATTCCAGCACTTTGGGAGGCTGAGGCAGGCAGATCACCTGAGGTTGGGAGTTCAAGATCAGCCTGACTAACATGGTGAAACCCCATCTCTACTAAAAATACAAAAATTAGCTGGGTGTGGTGGCACATACCTGTAGTCCCAGCTACTCAGGAAGCTGAGGTAGGAGATTTGCTTGAACCCAGGAAGTGGAGGTTGCAGTGAGCTGAGATTGCATCATTGCAGTCCAGCCTGGGTAACAAGAGCGAAACTCCTTCTCAAAAAAAGAAAAAAAGTATGTAATGACATAGGAATGGCTTGAGTAAAAATAGCAAGACCCAAAATTATATATATGATATGATTTCAGCTCTGTTCTTTTTTATACATGGAAATGTTTTGGTACGTAGAAAATTTTTAAACATAGAAAAAATGAAATGTATTTAAAGTTTGTTAATTACAATGAAATATTAACTTGGATAATCAGAAATACAAAAAGTTTTTTTAAAAAGAGAAAAATCAATAAAAGACACATATGAAAAAGTACATCAAAAGTTAGCAGTTTTCAGCCTGAGCAACATAGCAAGTTTTTTCCCTCCCTCCCTCCCTCCTTTCCTTCCTCCCCTCCTTCCTCCTTCCCTTCCTTCCTTCCTTCTTCTTCTTCTTCTTCTCTCTCTCTCTCTCTCTCTCTTATAGGGTTTCACTCTGTTGCCGTGGTTGTAGTGCAGTCGCATGATCTCGGCTCACTGCAGCTTTCCCTTCCTCCCTCCCTCCTTTCCTTCCTCCCTCCTCCCTCCTTCCCTTCCTTCCTTCCTTCCTTCCTTCCTTCCTTCCTTCCTTCCTTCCTTCCTTCCTTCCTTCTTCTTCTTCTCTCTCCCTCTCTCTCTCTCTCTCTCTCATAGGGTTTCACTCTGTTGCCGTGGTTGTAGTGCAGTCGCATGATCTCGGCTCACTGCAGCTTTCCCTTCCTCCCTCCCTCCTTTCCTTCCTCCCTCCTTCCTCCTTCCCTTCCTTCCTTCCTTCCTTCTTCTTCTTCTTCTTCTTCTTCTTCTTCTTCTTCTTCTTCTTCTTCTTCTTCTTCTCTCTCCCTCTCTCTCTCTCTCTCATAGGGTTTCACTCTGTTGCCGTGGTTGTAGTGCAGTCGCATGATCTCGGCTCACTGCAGCTTTCCCTTCCTCCCTCCCTCCTTTCCTTCCTCCCTCCTCCCTCCTTCCCTTCCTTCCTTCCTTCTTCTTCTTCTCTCTCCCTCTCTCTCTCTCTCTCTCTCATAGGGTTTCACTCTGTTGCCGTGGTTGTAGTGCAGTCGCATGATCTCGGCTCACTGCAGCTTTGACCTCCTAGGCTCAAGCGATCCTCCCATGTCAGCCTCCTGAGTAGCTGAGATTACAGGCGCATGCACCACACCTGGCTAAGTTTTTGTATTTTTAGTTGAGATGGGGGTTTCACCATATTGCCCAGGCTGGTCTCAAACTCTTGAGCTCAAGCAATCTGCCCACTTCAGCCTCCCAAAGTGTTGGGATTACAGGTATGAGCCACCTCATCCAGCCAACAGCAATTTTTTTCTGATGGGTGATTTTTTATCTTATTACTCTGTTTTTTTGTGTGTATTTGCCCGGTCTGGATTAAATTTACTGATTTGCGATCAGAATAAAATGACTTAAAAATGAAAGCCATCAGTCGGGTGTGGTGGCTTACGCCTGTAGTCCCAGCACTTTGGGAGGCCCAGGCGGGTAGATCACGTGAGGTCAGGGGTTCGAGACCAGCCTGGCCAACATGGTGAAACTCCATCTCTATTAAAAAGACAAAAATTAGCCAGGTGTGGTGGCACATGCCTGTAATCCCAGTTCCTCAGGAGGCCGAGGCAGGAGAATAGCTTGAACCTAGGAGATGGAGGTTGTGGTGAGCTGAGATGGCGCCACTGCACTCCAGCCTGGAAAATAGAGCAAGACTCCATCTCAAAAAAAGAAAGAAAGAAAGACATCGTAGCCATACCTACTTTTTAATGGTAGTACAGCAGGTTATGGTATGGAATGCATTTTTGGAACAAGATGTTAACAAAAATTCAAAGGAACAAATACATGGCCATGGAATTCCAGTGCTAAGAGACATCTGGGAATACCGGGGGAGTTTTCCAAAAGAGGCACCCAGGTGCCTGTATTTGTTAAATGAATAACAAAAGGAAAAACAAAGTGAGGGAACAGAAAGGAAAGGAAGAGAGAAATACGAAGATCTGAGAAGAGAAGGTGCCGGCGGCTCCTGGGCGACTGCCAAATGTTCATTTCGTTATTTGGCTTCTTATTTTATTCTGGGTAATGGTAGACCTATTAGTTTCCAGCTGCTTTAACAAATTACCAGCAACTTAGTGGCCTCGAACAGCACAAATTTATTCTCTCAAAGTTCTGGAAGACAGAAGTCCAAAAATATGTCTTATTGGCTAAAATCAAAGTGTTATGTTTCTTCTGGAGGCTCTAGGGCGAATCTGTCCTTCTCTTTTCTAGTTCTAGAGGCTGTCTGCGTTCCTTGGCTCATGCCCTTCTTTCAACAATGGCATCACTCTAACCTTTGTTCCACTGTCACATCTCCTCACCTCTGACCCTTTTGCCTCTGTCTAATAAAGCCCCTCTGATTACACTGGGCCCAGCAGATAATCCAGGATGACCTCTTTGTCTCAAGATCCTTAATTTAATCATATCTGCCAAAGGGTTTTGTTTTGTTTTTGAGGTGGAGTCTATTGCCTAGGTTGGAGTGCAGTGGCACAATCTCAGTTCACTGCAACCTCCACCTCCCAGGTTCAGGCAATTCTCCTGCCTCAGCCTCCCAAGTAGCAGGGACTACAGGTGCACGCCACCACACCCGGCTAATTTTTGTATTTTTAGTAGAGACAGAGTTTCACCAAGTTGGCAAGGCTAGTCTCGAACTCTGGACCTCAGCTGATCCACCCACCTGGGCCTCCCAAAGTGCTAGGATTACAGGCATGAGCCACCGTGCCCGGCAAGGGTTTTGTTTTGTTTTCGCCATTTGAGGTAACATATCCACAGGTTCTGGGGAGTCGGATGTGGACATCTTTGGGGCAGACAGTTCTCAGCCTACCATACAAGGAAACCAGTAGGTAAGGTTCTACTACCTACTAAGTGCATCTTAATCAGAACTTCTTCTGATCCTTCAACAACTCTGTGAAATATATGATAGGATTTGCTTTTAAAGTTGAAGAAATCAAGCCTTTGGGATTTGCCCACCGTCAAACAGCGGGGAGGCAAGCCCATGGTCAAATCCCAAGCAATTTGGGATTCTACCATGGTCAAGTAGTAGGGAGTCAAACCTAGGTCCCTGAACCCAGCTCAAGCCTGCCTGCCTCATGGCTCTGCCTCCATTTACGTCTCTGCTTCATGCCTACTGCCTGTTTCCTGTCTGGACCTGTTCCCCAGCTCCCTGGACAAGCTTCAGCTGCTGTTCTCCAGCTTGTCATGTGCTCCTGATGACAGTGTAGATACAGCTGGATCCTGCGGATTACTGCTTGAGCAAGCTGAGTGCTGCTCCTCAGAATCTTCTCTTAGGCCTTTCTCTTGCCTTCCTTCATTCAATAAGCATTTTGAGCTTATTGTGCTGGGTGCTAGAATAGCAGGGAAGACAGACCTAAGCTGTAGATTACAGGAAAATCTGACTGACACCTGCTATCTCAGAAGCAGAGACTACAGCATCACAGGGAGCCAGAGCAGGGAGTTCCAAGCCCTGGGAACTGTGTGACTCCTATTGACCCTTAAGCAAAAATCTAAGCTCCAGGGAACAGAGGCAGCAACTTGAGCTCCCTGGTTGACCAGATATGATTAATCATTGTTTCTCTGTGTTTTGAACATGACTGTGCTCCATAAATATTTTAAAGTTGGGAAGAGGGTGAAGACAGATACACCAAAAGAAGTAAACAGTGTCTGAAACCAGCAAAGGGTTAAAAGTTACCAAGAGAGTGCTCAGAGCTTTCGTCTTTTTTTTACCTAGCAACTGGTGTCACTGCATATTTTCCCCTGTACTTATTGGAAGAAGGCCTTGTGTGTCACTCAGTTGCTAAATCACTCAAGGGGTTCACGGAAGGGACCTGTCAGTTTTTGGTTAAAAGAACCCAGAAAGAGAAGGACTACAGGGGAACTGATGGTGTTCCTGTTACCTCTCATCGTTGTATTAATGGCGAAGCAGAGTGATGCCCGTGAGTACCCCACATTCTCTTCTCCCCTAACTCCAAAGTCGAGGCAGCCTAGAAGGAACAGCTTTTCTTCCTAAAACTTGTGGTGGAAAATATAGAAGCCAGGGGCAAAAAAGTGTATGTATTACATCAAGACTCCAGGAGCAAGGGACGACCTGAACAGTTTTCAGTTCCTATTTGTAGGACTTTGATGTCACCCCCTTCTGAGGCAGTGGGAGCCATTCCAGAAATGAGACTCCGGAACTTCCTCACTTTCCCTCTGAGTGTGGTCCCCCTTATTTTCTGCTCATACTTTTTTTTTTACTTTTGTTTCTCCTCTTCTCTAACCTCCAGAGTCTCATGAGGACGTCGTCAGAGTTTCAGGGGCATTAACAGTGGAGCAGATCCATTGTTCAGGTTTATTTAGTTTTCTCTACTCAACACAAGCCCTACCTGTAACAAAAGATCCAGGAAAGATAAAACCATGGCTCTGGGCTTGTTTACTGGCTGTGAGAAGTGTTAATCAAGTAGAAGGGAGAGTGTTTCATTGCTTTAGGAGCTCATGTCACTGGGGAAGCAAATGCCTTCTGTTGCCTCTAATAGGTGGAAGGGCCCATGGGCTAGAACCGCCAGGCTTCTCTGCTCTTGGCACCTGCTCTCTGGGCTGAGGACTGGTAGTGTGTCTAGAATGTAGGCTTGGCCACCACCATAGATATTACTGATGGACATGAGAGGAAGGAGCTCTTTCAAATCATCCATGCACGTAGAGAGTAGAATGAGTGAGAATGGAGATTCAGAAGGGTGGAGGGGTGGATGATGAGAAATTACTTAATGGGTACAATGTATGTTACTTGGATGATACTTTAAGACCCCAAATTGACCATTACGCAATCTATGCATATAACAAAATTGCAGCTTACATCATACATTTATACAAATAAAAATTTAAAAATCATCCATGTATTAATCGTTCAAATATTGATTGCTGGGCTACTATGTGCCAGGCACTTTGGGGGATATGGCAGTGAACAAATAGGCATAATCTCTGCTTCCATGAAAATTTAATCCAGAAAGTCTCATCATCTATGGGAAAGATTGGGGTGAGGGTGAGGCAGAAGAGGAAAGAGGAACAGTGGAGGGAGGTAAAGCGTGATATTTTTAGAAGTAAAAATCTTATATATTGCCTGCATGTGATTCTCAACTCTCCAATAATATGGAATAATATTCCTTAAACATATTATCCCCTTGACAATCTCACTGACTGTGGTAGGTGAGAGAAATATCTCCATTTAAAGATGAGCCCTGGATTTTCCTCTAGGCCTAGAGAGTGACCAGGCTCACATAAGGAGCAGCCTGAAGGAGACTGGAGGTCTTCTGGCCCTCTGTCCTGGGCTGTTTCACAATGTCACTGTGCCTCTGGGTGTCAAGACTTGTCACTTTGATAATTTGGGGGATAGGAAATAAAACAAGTAAGTTACAAAGACAAGGGAAGGTCACTTGGTGCCGGCTGTTCTCCTTTTGACTCCTCAGACTGCATCCTTCTCTGTTCTGTTTTGTGTCCTTGAGGCTGACTGCTAGACTGCATCACCTAGACTCTCTTGCAAGCTGATTTCTGCTTGGGTTCCCACAGTGGGAAACACTGAAGAGAGAGAGGTCAGAGAGCAGGGAGGAAAGAGAGGCTGGGAAATGTCTTTCTTGCACCTTCCCCTCTTTCTATAATGTCTCTGGCAGTAGCTGTGTGCTTCTGTGCGGTTTTCTTTCCTGAGTAACCCCTTCTTCATGGTTCCAGCTCCCATTGGGCTTCAGTAATACTATTTGCTATTCTTATCTCTTAAGCCCTAGGAGTGATAATGGCTTCCCATAGTTGTTAGCCTGCTGGTGCCCATCATTTTTGTGTGTTCCCTTAACATTGACCATATCTCTGCAAGGAGTCCTCATTAAGGTCTCCTCATGTGACCATCTGGGCTGAAGGCTGTTTCCTGCTAGGACCCTAACTGAACATTCCTGGGCTTTGAGGGACATTGGCAGGGAAAGGATATGAGATTATAAAAAAATACTTGGTGTACTTGATATTTATGCCTAGTACTAGCCCTGAATGGCTGCTATATAATTAATAGATGGAGAAACACAGAGAGGAGATTCTGCAGTGTTGTGGGTCATTACTCCAGGAAATGTCAACGTAACTCCAATATCACTTCCAATGTGTTGCTTTCATTGACTCCATAGCCTGCAGTTGACTCCCCCTTCCTTTGTGCTCCCATAGCTCCTGTTCTCAGTTCTATAATTTTCCATTTACAGAAATCTTCCCTTTGAGGCACTCCTTAAAGACAGAAAGAGATGTCTTCATTTTTTCTTATTTCTCTGGCACTACCTAGTGCCCAACAGGCACTAGTAAATACTTCCTGGGTGAATTTATGTTTGGAGGTAATGTCCCTAAGAAATCACAGTTATTTGACTGGGAGCCACAGAGAGCCTGGGCAGTAATAATGATTACAAATGCAAAAGTGTGGCTTACTGTAGCTGCAGGATTTGTGTTAAAAAGGTGTTTCAGGCTTTTACAACTCATCTTGTTCTTCATTTCAGCCTGTGTGAAACTGAATTGGTGATATGGGTAGGTGTCGTCAGTCTGGGGGCCAGCATGAGATTTCTCATGCATAGCCATGTGTGGTTTGTGTGTTTCATCTTGACATAATCAAGGTCAGTCTCTTGATATTACTCATACTTTTATGAGTCTGTCTCAATTTGCTATATCAATCTACTTCATGAATGGTGGAGTCCTTCACAGACGAGGCCTGATGATAGATAGGCTCCCTAAGCCTATTTTAACACCTGGGCTAGTGTTAAAAAAACATACATGCATATTATCTGCTTAGAAAGTGACCTTGAGTTCAAAGAGTTAACATGAGAAAATATGGGCGTTTTCTAAAGACTTTATTAGACTTCAGTCTGTTTCCATGGAGCTGTTGCCAAGGTACATGCCATAGAAATTTCTCCAAGACAATGTTTCACTCCCCTAAGGCCTCCTTCCTCTTCCTCTTCCTCTTCCTCCGCCTCCTCCTCCTCTTCCTCCTCCTTCTTCTTCTTTTTTTTCTTGAGGTGGAGTCTTGCTCTTGTTGCCCAGACTGGAGTGCAATGGCACGATCTTAGCTCACTGCAAGCTCTGCCTCCTGGGTTCAAGTGATTCTCCTGCCTCAGCCTCCTGAGTAGCTGCGATTACAAGTGCCTGCCACCATGCCCAGCTAATTTTTGTATTTCTAGTAGAAATGGGTTTTTGCCATGTAGGCCAGGCTGGTCTTGAACTTCTGACCTTGTGATCCTCCCGCCTCGGCCTCCCAAAGGCATGAGCCACCACAGCTGGCCAAGGCCCTCCTATTAATTGGTGTTGAATTTATCTAAATTTGAGAAATTCAACTAATTTGTAGATTTTTATTTTGACTAGTTGAACTAGCTGTCTATTCTCACTTGACCTCAATCCTCTTCCCCCACAGTATTGCTGAGAACTGCAGGGAAGTAGCCTAAGTTAAAGATCAAACACATGACTCTTTGAACACTTAGTTTAGGGAACTCAAATTGACACAAATGACAAAGTATGTTTTTTTCTGATGTCTGAATTTTAATTTATTGAGGATAATCTATCAAGAGTACACATATTAAGTCACATTTTGCTATAAATTCAAAAGATCATTTTAAAAGAATAAAATTTATAAAATTGGGATTCTTCTAGGAAACATGAGACATATAATTATCATTGTATAGGGAGTATACTGAAGGAAAAAAGACACCAGAGCTCATTCATTCATTTTTTTTTGGCCAGGTGCAATGGCTCACTCCTGTAATCCCAGTGCTTTGGGAGGCCAAGGCAGGAAGATCACCTGAGGTCTGGAGTTTGAGACCAGTCTGGCCAACATGGAGAAACCCTGTCTCTACCAAAAATACAAAATTAGCCAGGCATTGTGGTGCATGCCTGTAGTCCCATCTATTCAAGAGGCTGAGGCAGGAGAATTGCTTGAACCCAGGAGGCGGAGGTTGGGGTGAGCTGAGATTGCGCCACTGCACTCCAGCCTGAGCAACAAGAGCGAACTCTGTCTCAACAATAACGACAACAAAAAAAGACCACAGAGCTCATTGATTCATTTTCCAAAACTCCACGTGGTCCTACAGGGCTCACTTCCTTACTCCATTCACACCTCTGCTCAAATGCCACCTGCTCTGGTCCCGCTATTTAAAAGATCAGGCCTTCTCCTCTCCACTGTCTTTTCTCTGCTTTACTTTTCTTCATAAACTTTATCTCCACCTGACCTTGTATTATATGTGTATTTACTGCCAATCTCCTGACTAGAGATTAGCTCAGAGGCCTGGGACTTTCGTATGTTCATTGCTGTGTTTCCAGCAGCTAGGACTGTGCTTACTGGACATTCAGAAAAGAATAAACCTATATGAAGTGAGACGTTGGCAACCTTCAAAAGGGTAGCCTCAGAAAAGCAGCTCACAAGCCAAGCTTGTCACATTCAGCACTTTTGTGCTTGCCATCAGTTCCTGTAGTTAGACAAGTCATTAGGACAGGGGACTAACGGTTCTTGCTGCACATAGAACCATCCCTGAATATGATGGTGCCCTTAACTAAAAATATTGCCACCTACTTCTCCCCCTCATTCCCACAATGCTCAAAATTCCAAAGAGTCATTCCAAGGAATCAGAATCATTTTGACCTTATTAAGGCATTACGGTACTTGAGAGAGCCAACAAGTAATCGGACTGTGTTGAGCTGGTTATTCAATCAGGACTTACTGCCACCTGTATGTAGGAAGGTCTGGAGCCTGCGGCCACAGGGACTGGGAAATCAGAGGTAGTGAGTCATCCTTGACACAAGGGGGCGGGAGAGGGCAGTGATAATCCAGGGGCTAGAAGACTGAGACTTCGTGGCCTGGGAAACTTCCCTTACACCAGGGAGGGTTGGGTAGTCTAAGGTAGAGGGGCTTGCCGTAGAGAGATACAGGGTGATTCCTGGTTTCTGCACTTGTGAA